TTTTTTCAGAAAGCTTGTTTTATTTCAGTTCGATAATTCTTTTCTATTTTTTTAATGCAATTTTGGGGGGTTCTTTTGCAGATTTTTTTTTTTTTTTTTTACCTTTAAATTGCTAGATTTGATCAATAAATAATAAATAATTAAGTCATTTAAGCACATTCCTCACATTCTTTTAACTTAATTTCAAAATAGCTCACAATTTCATGCATAACCCTTTTAAATCAGCTCAAAATTTCTTACATTGGGTGTCTTTGCCGACCTCTTGTGGAAAAGAAAATTGGCCTTATATCACTATTTGAAGCAAATGAGCTGTTTCGCTGGGTCTTATTAAAGTCAGTTTCTCTTCATTATGCATTCAGATACACATGTAGACATTATAAAATACTTTTATGGTAAAGTTTTAGCATTTTTAAGTTGTTATGTGTATGTACTGAAGCACTCCTCAGGGATTTATTCATAAGGGGGTCAGATTGACCCGCGAGGGAAGGGTTTGTTACTTTTTTAAAAGGTGTTGTGGCAGGTTTATTGTGTGTTCATGTTTATTTCCTGTCGCTGTGCAGGCTATTTATTGTATATGACTGATTAAACAGCTCAATAACCCTTTAATTTAAACATTAATTTATGTCCCGTAGACCGGTCCATTGCATTACGATTGCAAGCATTATCAATATATCTCAAAAATGTGATGTGCAGTCAAAAGTCCCGATGTTTATAGGCCTATGCTGTTTATTCGAGTGTTCTCCTATAAACGAATATCTCGTAGCACCCCAAATCTACAACATCTCCCCAAGCCCCATTTAGCAAACAAATACTACTCTATTTTTCCTTTCTATGGCAGAAATTGTAAGAGTATGTGGTTCTGAATTCAGCATTTATTTGATGGGGAGAAGGGTGTGGCCTCAAAATGAAAGGTGCATGACTTAACTTAAATAAAGTTAAATTAATAAACAGTTACGTTTGCTGAAATGCATAATTCATGGAACAGTTTTGACAGATTGCGGAGGGCTTAAACTCGTCAATTGCCAAATCCCCTTCTCAGACTGCATTTCACCTGCTGTCTGTTTATAATGTTAATCAAAAAAAAGAGGACAAAGAAAAACTGAATAACTTTAGTAACTTAAAGCTGCAGTCCGCAGTTTTTCCTCTTTGTCGCCCCCTCTGTTTGAAATCTGCAATTGCAGTTATTCACTGAATTATCAACTTTAGTTGTGCCTCGACACGGCACAGCGCGGATGAACACAATGTTTGAGGAGGGTGTGAGGCTGTCAGTCGCCGCGCCGGTGTCGATACTGGCATTCAGAATCACAGATTATTCTTTTTGGAAGTATGACCAACATAATACTTTTCACCCTAAAATGTAATCTGAACAAGTAACATCCACTTTTGTTCTTCTGACCAACTAACTGAAAAATACCATTGCAGTAAACAGCGCTGATTAAATCTAACGATCGATTATCATATCACGTCAAATCGCACAAATTATACTTTGTTGTCAAATTGTTAATGTTCAACGTCAGCATTGCGTGACGACATGTAAAGCCCTTCAGATAGCCTATTTATCCTTGTTTTCGCATGGGCCGGTTGCAGTCTCTTTTTCCAAACTCTCAGTCCAAAGACTTTTGCATTTTACAACGGGTGAATCTGTTCTCACTAGTGATTGTCGTTTGAACCTTTCTGGATCCGCCATCAAATTGATAAGTTTAATTATATCAAGTGTGAGAAAAGGCTATAAATCTCCACCTCCAGCATCCTCACACTCATAGCCTACTAGCCAAGACTCCTTCTTTATGTGTACAGATGTGTGTGTGTGTGTGTGTGTGTACAGATGGATGTGTGTGTGTGTGTGTGTAGAGATGTGTGTACAGATGTGTGTGTACAGAAGTGTGTAAAGATGTGACGTAATGACGCAAAGACATGCTCGAATTTCTCGTGAAAATCCACCAGTAGCACTGGAATTAAAAACATCATTACAAGCTTACCGCTTTGAATCGAGCTACGGCAAGCAGAGAGTTTTGAACACAGGCTGGTTATGTACTTGCTCAATTGGTCATTTTTAACCCAAACAAGTTATGGACTGGAGCTTTAAATAAGGATTAATCTGAACCTCCTAGGGCTTAGTGGCCACGTACGTGGACAGCACATTTTTGCTCTTATGTCCACAATTGTGTTCACTGCTGAATTGGTGGTGTTATGGACACGTATGGGGGTACTTATACTGCCATCTGGTAGTGTCAGAAATTTATAACACACTATGGTCAAAATTCAAAATGGCGGCAAACACAAGGACAGATTCAAGTGGTAGCTCCATACACAAACGTCGACCAGTTAAGAAGTTCTGTCATATTTCATGGCTTATTCTGATTTAGATATTTATAAAAGCCTTGTATATTTGTCATGACATGCAAATTTGGAGAAAAAAAAGTGCAAAACTACCAACTTTGTAGGTCGCTAAACATGAAGTGCACGTATGTGTACTTATGGACTGAAGCTCCTCGAAACAGCTAATATGCTAGTAAACATGCACATAAAATGGGAAAAAAGCTAGCTCTGATGCAGCTAAAAAGGTGCACATGGTCCCAATGACATAAATAACAATTAAATCACTAAATACATACGTACATACTTAAATTAGTTGGGTTGAAAATGTTAGTAAAAATGTAATATGCTAGTAAAAATGTGCACATGTAAATTAGCTTGTATATTATCCCATTGGAATAAATAACAAATAAATAATGCAAACCTACATAAATTAAATTAATTTGTATTTGATTTTATCATGTTTTTATTTCCAGTGCGTTTTTCTGTGCAAAGAGCATTGGAGCTACTTTGGGTTAATTGATGGAGATAACACAGATTTGGATGTGTCTGATAACGATGATCCCTTAGAGATGTCTTATTGATCACAAGTTCAGTATGGTGTACCACAAGGCAGAAGGCTCAGTACTAGGACCGTTGCTGTTCACTCTATACATGCTCCCCTTGGGAGATATCATTAGGAAGCATGGCATTAGTTTTCACTGTTATGCTGATGATACTCAGCTCTATATTTCTTCACGCCCCGACGAAACTTGCCAATACAAAAAAAACTAATGCATTGCTGATATAAAATCTGGATGACTAGCAATTACCAACTTTAAAACTAAAAAATCTAAATTACTTCATGTGCTTTCAATGAAAAATGTGGAACAGTTAGTTCATTACATCAAGGCTAGATCATTGTAATGCTCTACTGGGTGGTTGCCCTGCACGCTTAATAAACAAACCTCAGCTGGTTCAAAACGCAGCCACTAGAGTTCTTACCAGAACCAGGAAGTATGACCATATTGCCCGGTTATGTCAACATTGCATTGGCTCCCTATTAACCATCGTATACATTTTTAAATATTGCAATGTTTCCATGTTGTTTTTACTCTCTGATAGTCAAAACATGTTAAAAAATATGTGTGTATGTGTTATTAATACATTAAAAAACAGTCAGGAAAAAAACTGCTGTGTTCAAGGCAGAAATAAAGGGTTTTTCATTCTATTACACAAAGGTGACTTTATTGTGTTTTATGGAAATTCGGACCATGAGTCCACATATGTGGACATCATTTTTCTCTAAAAGTACATCATATCAAAAGATGATTCTTAGTTTTTATTTTAATTAGGTTCCAATAAGCCCAAATAGCAAAGAGAATTAAAAAATGCATGTAAAAAATCAGCTTGGGCCTTAAGAGGTTAATTTATACAGTGAAGACTATCCAGTTATTTTACATTTGGTTATTCAATGTCTATATCTGACAACTATCCGTTTTATAATCATTATTATTATACTTTAGTGTAATATTTAATTTAATTCTTATTCGCAAGGGTTTTCCAGTTTCAATGTAACCTGAACACGTCACATAAAACGGGACACTTTTTAAACCTGTTCTGATGAATTACTATTTTGTGTTATTATCATGGCCTAAACCTATACAACAGTTAATGATATTTCTACTGTAAATATACTTACTGCTAGCACAGACATTAGGTTACATAGACTTTCTAACCCATCTAAAGTTGTTTTACATAATTTTAAATACAAGTCTATAAGCTTAAAATCACTGCCCCATTTTATAAGACAAAGCAAACCGAATGAATAGCAGAGCTAAACTGTGTTGAAAGAGCAATAACATTAAAATCACACTTGTTTTAAAGGTTATTGCATCACAAAAAAGCCTCAAAGGCCGAGAGTACAAACGGTTATCTGTGAATCTACCAAAACCTGTCCCATTTTTGGATAGCTCACAAAATAATAAGTATTTATTGAGCAAATTTTTAGGCTTCTGAGCCAGTTGTAAAGCAAGTCTTGACAGGTTTGTGAACAGATAAATTGCATCACATTATATGGATATATAACGAAGAGCTTCAGACTTCAGTTTGATCTATTATATCCACTACAAAATCAGAGATCACGGTGAAACTCAAACCAGATCGAAATCCCTTCTCCACCCGCAGGGACGGTCCCTCCCTCGCCACGGCACAGAGAAACACAATGCAAATTTCCACACCTGTTATTCTGGTAAAGAATATCATAGCATGATGACGAGGAAGAAAAACATTATGGAAAATCATACAGCAGAATGGCTGCCAATGACCACAGAACAACATTAAATGAAAGGACGTGAGGAAGGTCAGGGAAACTGGTTTTTCATATATTTCCCCCCTCATTTTACTTGTAAATACCCTCCAGCTTCCCCAGGATGTAAAACATTCAGCATAAAGCTAGACACAGCTGTAAAAACAAGTGCTATATCGAAACCCTGGAGGATGTGACTAAGTATTAATAAGTGCTACTGTCATTTACAATTAAAGCCGCAGTGCCTGTACATGCGCAAACTAACACTAAATGAGAAACTTTACATTTATAGACAACTTTGTTGATGTGTAAAAGCTCGTTTAAAAGCAAAAAAGTACTAAAACAGGAAAAATATTCTAACAAAAAAGTCATCAGGAACAGTTCAGAAATGGATTACCACAGAAAACAAGTGAAGCAGAAGTGTAGAAAACGGTGTACTTGCCTGAAGCCTGGTCTTCAGAGGGTGTGTGTGTGTGTGTGTGTGTGTGTGTGTGATGCTCTGCTGTTCACGGGGGGGAGGAAACCAAAAAGCCATCGTGACCACAGGTGAGCACGTCACACAACCCTTCCTTCAGCATCACCAGCGCAGCGCAATAGCAGAAAAACAGGTGCATTTCTGTTTCAGGGAATTAAAGACACTGACAATCATTAGAATAATCATCCTGAATACAAACCAGTTAACAATGACATTTGGAAAACTTGATATTATGATCATATGAAACGCAATTTGTTAAAGGTATTATTTGCATAGAAACCCCAACACATCCTGGAACAAAACCGGTTTGCAGGCTCTGAGCGGAATAAAGGTTTGCTACACAACTGCGCAACGCAAAGTGTAAACACTGCAACATGACGATGAATCCGTAAACACACAGATTGAGTCGGCTCCGGTAACAAAACGCATTATCTCAAGGGCACGTGACGTCTGAGGCCGGGATCAGGTCCTCAACCTCTATTATGAGTTTGAGCATTTATGCACGCAAACACAATCCCTATTGTAATTCCTCTTAATGAAGGCAAGCTATTTGAAAAGCAAACATGATTTGAGAGGTTAGTTTTGAATGTGCGAGGCGCTCCCACATGGACTTCATTGGTCTTGGTCAATACGCAAGAGCTGATTTGCCTGTGTTTAGCAAAGATACACGATTTCCCTGTGATGGCAATAAAGCAGCAAATTTAGCAGCTTATGTAGTTCTTTTCTCGATCACTTCAGCATCCGTTTTAATTTAATGGGCTGATTTTAATGTTTTGTTTGCGTTAGGAAAACATACAATTAATCTAGCATAAAAACTAGGTAGTTTTAAACATGACCAAAAGCAATATTTAACTATGCCCAGCATTTTGGTCATAACCTTGTAAATGAACGATTTCCCTCCTAATATTTTTATTTTTTTTAAAGAAGAAACCTGCCCCCCAAAAAGACATTATTTGGTGAAAAGCATAGACTGTAAAAAATGGTGAAAAGACAATTAAACAACTGGCATTTGCCAAGCTAAACCACATTGATATGTAAGGGATAATGTATCGAGGCGGTTGTTAGCGAATACCAGAGCCGGTGAATTCCAACCCGACAGGCTGACTAGCCCGACGCGAAGCGGAAGCATAATCCTCGGAGTCTTAATCAGCCTGAAGGGGTGGTATTCGCTATGACAACCACCTCGCTATACATTATCCCACTTATTGCATGGCTACCTACCAAATAAATCAATAATTTGACTCAAAATATTGATTTTAAAAGGAGTTTATTGATTTAAAAACGATTGTATTGCTTCCGCTAAAGAAAATAGTCCGTTCCGTCTCTGAACTGCGTCCATGGCAACGCTCTGTTTTTCATGGCAACGGGTTATCAAGAAATTACAGACCACATTCTACATTGCAATTCTACCAAGCCATGTAAGTAAGGGTTAATGCCCGACGAGGTGTCTGTCGGTACACGATCAGTGTCCATTGTCAGGTTTTAATGGACCACGGAGGTGTGAACCGCCCGACGCGCAGCGGAGGACGGTTGCCTCCGCCGAAGTCCATTAAAACCTGACAATGGACACCTCGGAGGGCATTAACCCGCTTATACCATGGTCACTTGCCAAATAAAAGTTTATATTTTAATTAGGCTAAATTTAGTTTTTACAAATAATAACTTGCCTGACGGTTTATTTAGCAACCAGAGATATTTATATAGTCCGCTCAGCTTGAACCCTTCAGGTTCAAAAATGCATTTTTTTTTCATGAAACACAAAGGTAGGCATAGTTATTTTTTTATTACACATAAAACAATTAATCAAACAACAGTCAAAAAAAAAAAAAAAAAAACAATTAACGTTAGTTCTGCGCTCCAGCGATTTGCGCTTATAGAGGGCAATAAATTAATCAGATCAAAGAGATGTCATTTGCCTAAATGCTCCCGGTGTTATCTCTTTGTGTCGTTTCTCCGTTTTATTTACATTTTTTCTTTCTTCAGCAGCATCCCAGTCGTCAAAGTTGTCATATTCTCCATAAATGTTAAAAGAAATAACGAAGTCGCTCATTGTTGTATTAGTAGGCTATGTAATATCTAACTAACGTTAGATGTTTGTTTTGATAGAGCAAATTGTTAACGGATACTTTGACTGCCTGTTGCTATGGTTACTCACAGCTGTTGTAGGCGGCGCATTTATTTATTAATTTCGAATGGTAAACAGTCAGTTTCACCAGAACTACTTTACTAGGTGTCCTCTATCACTTTTTAACGGACACCCTGCAGCCAATCAGAATCGAGTATTCACCCAGACCATGGTATAATAAATAAATAAATAAATAAATATATATATATATATATAGACACAGTGTTGGGGGTAATGCATTGCAAGTAACTTGAGTTATGCAATCAGATTACTTTTTCCATGTAACTTTTTAAATTACAACATATCTGAGTTACTGTTTCAAATAAGCAATGCAAGCTACTTGGTTATTGACTTAAATGATTGAGAGTAAATGCCGAGACGTTGTGTGTGAACATGATGGTTACTGTAGTTCAAGACTGAATATTTACTCATCTCTCACAAGCACAAAACAGGGAAAAACAGTGTTCCTCAAAATAAATAAAAACAGTGAAATGGAAATTCAGAATATTACATAACACCTATTAAATATATGAAATAACATACCTTATGTATTCAGCAATGTATTCAATTCAAAATACCAGTAAGCTAAAATGACTTTAGATAAACTTTGTTCTTCTGTGACCCAGAACAGCTGAAAGGTTTGTTTGAGATGTGTCCTCTGTCCGGACGTGAGTTTATTCATTTCACTTCTGGTGTGAAAAGGCCTTTACATTTGCCAAAAATATAACTTTATGGGATCTTTTGTTATTAGCCCTCTGGTACTGTTCGCGTGTCGGTCAAAAATGATTGATTTTATTTTATTTAAATGAAATGATTGTACCATTTTATATTCCGATTGTTTTTTTATTTATTTAATATTTAGTATTTTTATAGTATTTATATTTTATGGCTCTTAGTTCATGTAAACTAATGTAGCTAACAAATTAACTGTAAAGTGTTACCAACACATCTATGCATATCAACATTTGGTATCACAGTTGTTTTTAATCTTTTTATTTGGATTTTTAGTTTAGTTTATTGCAAAAAAAAAAAAAAAACCTCAAATTGAGGGGTTTGATTTATTTAGACCGGTTCACAAAACAGCAGTTAATATTGTATTTAGTCTGACGATGATTTACTTTTTACTGATCACTCGCTGAGGGGGAAACAAATATATATGTATTGCTTCTTGAAGTGTTTCACAGGTATTTTGTACCTAATGTTTTGGAAAGAGCCCATAAACCAGATTGCAGAGAAAAGACAAGAAAAACTGCACACAGGTGTCATTCCAGAAATAATTTATTTCACTTCCATTTTAATCTTTTTTGTTTTTCAACGATGTGGAAAGTACAACCAAAAAAAAAAAAAAAGAAAGAAAATAAAATAAAAAAACAACCTTTGAGAACAGGAACTGAGATGACAGCAATAAAGTGAAGGAACGGTCCCTTCCTCTTTACCCACGACTAACGTCTGATTGGCTTCTCTGCCACCCCAACAGAGACAGAAGAGGCCCACACTTCATTCGCCCAAACTGGAGTGCATTACATTACAATGCTCTCGGATGTGTGTGTGTGTGTGTGTGTGTGTGTGTGACCTAAAGCATCAGTCTCTGTGTTACAGGCTTCATCTTCTCAGAGAGCCTTCTAGATCATAAAGACCAAACACCCACACCAGACTGGAAGCTGTTGAGTGAGTGAGTGTGTGTGTGTGAGTGAGTGAGTGTGTGTGTGTGTGTGCGTGTTTGCTAAAGCATCAGTCTCGGTGTTACAGGCTTCATCTTCTCAGAGAGCCTTCTAGACCATAAAGACCAAACATCCACACCAGACCGGATGCTGTCGCGTGTGTGTTTCTTTCCACACTCACACTGTCTTCCTTCCACCAGAAGCTACGCTGCGGACACAGATGTTGAAAACCTAGAAATGAATCAACAATGTGAACCTGTCAGCTAGTTTGTTTACGTCTCTCTCTCTAGTTCTGTGTTTGGACACGTGTGCCACTTTCCCTCCATTTCAACCGAAGACACCGAATCCATTCGGGATTCTTATGGGTTGTCTCTTGTATCATGTAACGCTCCTCTCAATTTATATGCTCATAACGTACAATCGGACACACTCGTACACACAAACACACATTAAACGGCTTTCAAATAACGCCTTGACCTTGGACAAAAACATCCTAATTTCATGTTTGGCATTAATCTTTCTAACGTCTCTTTATTCTGCATAATCATTTCCTCACACAAAATAAAACACCAAACAAACAGGAACCATCTACTTCATCTCATGGACAACGCAAATATTAAGGAAAAACAGAAAATACTCAAGTTTTTTTTTTTTTTTTTTAAATTCAAGGCACAATGTCTCTCCGTCTTGCCCTTAAACTCAGAGTACCACAGACTCAGCTGTCAATCACTCGCGAGAGGCTCCGCCTTCAACCCATCGCCTCTCCGCTAGCTCCGCCCTCGTTTAGCTAACACTGTTTCAGAGATGCGTCTGTTCGGGAGTGTTTTCACAGTCCCACACCAGTGAGTACAAACAGAACAAAAACAAATAATGACAGCAACGACAACAGCAAAAAAAAAAACGAAAAAAAAAAAAATATCGAAAATAAAACCCAAATAGTCACGTCCTGTTTTCTGTGTTATGTCAGAAATTTAAGTCATATCCATCAGCTCATTTTTGGCAAGCTTGTCTTAAATATGCACTAAGTACTGATAGATAGGATAAACATACACCGTTATGTGTGGTTTTAAGTAGATGCGTTCGTCATTTTTTTTTTGTATCATTTTCTTCTCGTAGACTTGTATGAATTCAAGGATTTTAGTCGATTTTCATTCGTCAGTTTAAAGGTTTACGTGAATGCAAGCAGGAACAGAGTTTGCCATGGTGTCTTGCTTTAGACGTGGGCGAG